GCCTTCTGTATCCATACTGAGATTTTGTCAGTCACCAGACCCTCAGCACTGATGAGACTACCAAGATGAGTGAAGCGGTCTACACGTTCGACTACCTCACTCCCTATCACTAGTTCAGGTGTTGATGCAACCCAATCTTGAAGCAACATTTTGTATTTCGAAAGAGAGAACCGCATTCCGAACGCACTTTAATTGTTGCTCAAGGTGGTCAGGAGACTGCAATTTGTCAGCGTCTTCACCAATTAGAACTATGTCATCGGCATATTCTAAGTCAATAAGCGAGCCACCTGGTAAAAGGTCTACTCCTGAAAATTCAGATGAGGATAAGGTTATTTCTAGGAGCATGTCTATGATAAAATTAAACAAGAATGGAGAGAGTGGACATCCCTGACGGGCACCACTTGAAGTGAAGAATTCCGGTGACAGTTCGCCATAAGCTCTCACTCGACCAGTGGTGTTTGAGTAGAGAGCTTGTATAAGGTTGATGTACTTCTTTGGTACACCTTTCAATGACAGACGCTGCCACAGAACCTCACGATCTACAGAGGGGCAATTTGAAAACTTATTAATCAACACCTAAAATATATTCTCTCCTTTTTACGTTGTTCAATATGTATGATTTATTTTACCGAAGATTTGTTCTTCAAGTGAATATGAGTGAACTAGACTACGAAAAGTAGTTAAGAGAGACGAAACCTAGCTAAGGTGAAGATAATAAGGAGCTTTGAAAAAGGATTCGTTAATCTGATGGAATTCTTGTAGTTCATGCTTTGTAGAATTCAAGTGATATGACTAAAAGTTGATACAAGTGACGAAAATAAGCTCATTTTTTGTTTGCACAATCAATAAGTAGCTTATCGTCTCACATATTTTACCTTTTGTCTGCTGCTTTCTGTCTTATTTTTCACCAATATTGGTTTCATAATTTCAGATCATTGTAAATGGTTTCCGAAGATAGTAACGCTACGTTTGGATGTCGATATCTTACAGATGCTTGTGATATTTATGAACATAATGCCTGGTAAAAATTAGGATGAAAAAACCCAACTTTGTCTCTAGGGATGATGTTCAGTGGACGGAAGAGCAGGAAAATTTAGCGAAAGAAATGATACTTTTGAATAGCGCTGATAAACTTCCAGATGATTCTCAAGGTTTGTGAAAGCTACTCCTTATGTTAGGTGATTAGAAAAAATTGAGGTCCTCTCACATGAGTACTGGAACAAGTTTTATTCTCATCACGAAGATAAATTTTTCAAAGACAGAAACTGGTTAAGAAAAGAGTTTCATGAATTATTTTCTTCAACATGTGAGTTTTAATCCTTTCGTAAATCGTTGCAGCACCTAGTTTGCACATAATGGAAGTCGGTTGTGGTGTGGGAAATACGATATTTCCAATATTAAGAGCTATAAAGTATACAGCATTAAGATATTTATTAAAAATTCAGGAGTCCTGGCCTGTTGATATATGCATCAGATTTCTCTGTAAATGCACTATCCATACTCAGAGTAAGTTCATACCTGATGTATTATTATTCAATAAGGGTTCCAAAGAGTATGATGCCGATCGTTGTATTAGTTTCCAGTATGACATAACCAAGACTGACGATGAAATCCCTTGCCCCAAAAACAGTTTGGATTTTTTAATCTTGGTGTTCGTATTATCAGCAGTTAATCCTGAACTGTAAATATTTTTTCTGTAGTTTAATCGCAAATGTATTTTAGGTTTCATCGCACACTTAAAAATCTTGTAACTTATTTGAAACCCGGAGGTGTACTATTGTTCCGGGATTATGGACAGTTTGATCTAGCTCAGTTGCGATTTAAAAGTGGTCAATGTTTAAAAGATAATTTTTATCTGAGATTAGATGGTACAAGAGTTTACTTTTTCACACAAGGTTAGTTTCAAAATTCAGACAAATCGTGATGTTTAAATTTCATACAGATGAATTACACAAATTGTTTACTGACGTTGGTCTGGAAAAAATTCAGAACAAAGTTGATCGTAGACTAATTGTAAATCGCAAAAAGAAGTTAAAGATGTACAGGATTTGGATTCAGTGTAAATATAACAAGAGATAATGTTATTTTATTATTTTAGATTTTGTACGTTAATAGTTCTAATGAAATGTGATCGGCATTTCATCTATCATTTGACTTACAGTTTATTCATTCACTTTGACAATCAAAAACTCACCCGTTGACAAGATCATCAAGCCCTCATCCATTACAATGGATACTGGGATTTGATTGTTGAGATTTCCAGAGCTTGTCCGTTTATCGAATTCTCTGCCATAGTAATGAAGATAGAAATAGAAATCGATTTTTAAGGTGACGATTACCTTGAACGAGTGTAAGTCACTATTCATTCACTTGCTTGAATTAGAGTGAACTTATCAAAAAGTACTTATAAATTAGTGGAAATCTACACATTCACAATTTGTTAATTCAAGATTAAATATCGTCCAAAAAGTGCATTATCAATGAAAATCTCGGTCAATGTAGCGGTGCAGTGGTTGCACACTATGAAACGGCTAAGGTTTAATAGTGGCAAAGTTACTGGCAGAGAAGTCATAATTTCTTAAAAATCTTTCAACTTCAATTCTGCAGTCACAATGTTCAGATGAGTCTACAGGATATGCACCGGGCCATCACCCACAGACCATTTATTAAAAAAGTTTGAAAAAGCCATTAACGTTCCCAGTCACAGCACAGAAGCAATTCGGGTGTTCACACTTACAGATTTACTGGTAAGATCAATCTTTATCTTAATCAGGAGGAAGAAGGTGAAAGTATGGATTTACCCCACCTTGACAATTAGACAGTGAGAGAGACTTGTCTTAAATATTATTTTAATAATAAGGTTGCAACTTGTAAACGGAACAGAAACATGATTTTCACTAAACATGAACAATGTACGAAACAATTCCAAAGAATTGCCGTTTTTTTAATATTGTTGCAAAAACAGCCCATATCGTTTCGTATAGGTGTTGTGATAGGAATGATTTAGGCTCAACAGTTAGGTTTTAATTAAGTGGAGAGTAGATAACCCACAAAAATAATTCCCTCCAATCCTTTGGGACATTCAATTTCGTTTGTTTTTTGTAGACAATTTATATGTAGACATATTGAAAAGGTTTTGTCTTTTATATTAGGTCATTCGTAGACTCTGCTACATCGTATCATGAGAATTCATCTACCAATTTGTATTTTATTTTAACGGTTCAAAACTTGCTTAATTTGAACTAATAGTGTTCATCTGGGTAAAATTAACTCACGTTATTTCCTCAAAAGTTAAGATTTTCCGAAGTCCCACGCATGATCATAATTTCAATCGAATCATGCTATTAGCAGTAATACTGCTGTTGTGCTATAGAACTAGAAATTCTTGGGATGACAGTTTCACCATAAACCAGCTAGTCCCTGACAATATTTAACTGCGATTGTTCAAAAGTCGAATCTTCTTGCAATTTTTTTTGGAAGATAACACTTAAATATCCCAGTCAGGTTCAATTATTTGTACTGGGATTAACTACTCACTACTTCTCTTTGATGTTGGCCCAATAAATGACATTGTGTCATTACAGAAATGCTCAACAACTTTCTGTCAAGGTATTTTTTATTAGCAACTAGTACTAAAAATTCCCTGTTGTTCCCGACCGTAGCTGCTACCTTGACATGGTGGTTGGGCTTGCCTGTCGTGATGACCTAACCAAGCTATATTGGCTGGAACATATGTTTCTGTAGGTTCTACCATACCAGGCAGGTCGATCAGAGTACGATGGGACTTAAAGCACCAACTCAAGGTCTGAGGGTGAAGTCGTACTGCTGACTGTAGAGGGTTGTGGCAGCAGTAAGGTGTTTACCTCGGGCGATTAGCACCTGCAGCGATGCTGCCTTCTCACAAGGAAGGAATGGGTTAGAAAAGGTTGACCATAAAAATGTCACACCTCACCTTACCCTACGGATTTCCGTCTCCGGCGGTAAGGCCACTTGAAGAGCGGAGCTAACTCTTCAAAAATTTTCATAAAAAGGTCGTGCGTGACCAGTCTCAAGCAGTTGTCTCCTGAACTCTGCAGTCACGCTTCCAGGACTCTAAGACCAACAATAATCTAACCTCCATCTCAGGTTCTTCAAGAAACACCTACTGTGTGCGCAGCCAGGAAGTGTCATCCGTCCTCATACTCGTAACAACATACGAGACCAAATTGGTCACAATCGAATGATTCTTACACCCCGTTACATCTCTCTTATCTCCACGACTAGCTCTCCTCACATTCCTTTATCACCCCGTACCGATAATGCAAACGATGCGAGTTCACGACTCCTGAAACCCTGTTCTAAATTACATGTTGGAGCATTTGATTTTCGGACACTGCTAAATAGGGCAACAGGCTTCATTAGCTAGGACTTTAGAATATCGTGCAATCGATTTACTCTTCGTGTATCGGGGAGCCCTGGTGCTGCTTCTTGGGGTCTCACTGGCGTAGATATAGCATTGAGTCCTAGGGCAGAACTAGCTCTCTTAGACTGGATCATAGTAGATAGTCGCTTGTGCGCTGTACGACTAAACGGGACAGTAAGGACTCGTAAATATAGGGACACTCTCCGTTGCCTCAAATTCTAACCTGAATTCCTCATCATCACCCGATAGTTATCACTAGGCACGACACTTTAAATTGACAGAAGCCGAGTGTACTTACTTCAGTGGTATATGGTTCAGACCTAATTTTCTGAATTTTCGTTCTGATAACTGTGTTTCAGTTTTATTGAATTTTACACTATTTGATTGATTAAAAGTGTGTCCTTTACAGGAATGCTTCTCGTAAGGCCTGATCAACCAATAATTTTTTATTGTGTATATAGTAAGGATCAGGTAGGAAGTTCTCGGACATAATCTGAATGTTTTTCGCTTATTTGCATAACAAATATAATAAGTTTAACTTTATATATGCTTCAGTGAGAAAATGTTCGGCAGTAATACCAGATCTCCACTCCCAACCATTTAGAGAGTTGTTTTTGATGATAATGGAAATGGACCTACAGTTTCAGTGATTCTTACTGTAACGCCCATCAATCAGTTAGATTATTTTGGTAAAAGATAACCAATCTAGTGTAATGAGGCGAGTCGCAGCTGACTAAAATCACCACTACAGACCGATTACGTTCCCGTCACTATTCAGTAAATCAGTTACAACGTAGAACTTAGTACATGTGTACATAAGTTCAGGAGACGCAACTGTCAGTTTAAATCCCATAGTGGTGGTAAAGATAGTAGAAGTATTAGCAATAATGGAGAAGATTAGGGTTCCAAGATATGATTCGAGAAGTATAGTTCAGTGAGATGACTTTAGAAGAAGAAAGAGATGATGAGGAATTCGGGTTAGAATTTTAGAGGACACAAAGAATGGATGCACCTGCGCCATTGCAAACGATTTTGAGCCATGTCGTTCAAGGTCTCTAACCATGGGTAACTTTTGTCTCGTGGACCCCAACCAGGTAGCCTACATCTACCAACATGACTCGGTCCACTTGTCAGTGACTTCATGAATTTCTGTCATGTTTTGGACTGGCCGCCCCTAGCTTTCTTCCACCATACTCCAATACCACAAAACATAGCTCGTCGAGGCAGTCGGTTGTTGGCCATTCGCGACACATGTCTCAACCACTTCAACTGATGAAGTTTCAATACTTACTCTACAAATCTGCCATCCTTACCTAGTACTCGATTCCGAACTATAGCATTACTTAGTCGTCCCACGATATACGAATAATCGAATAATAATAATGGTAATAATAAAAATAATAATCTACAAATGTCCTCTACTCTTACCGGCCATGTTTCGCATCCGCATAGTAGGACCGTCCTTTGGTTAGTAAACGGATATCTCGCCTGTGCCATAAGTGACGCAGGTTGGCAAAAGCCAATCG